ANNGNCNCAACCGGCCCAAAAATCTTATTGGCCCAAATTTCTCGGGCCCGGCCCGACAGATTTTCTTCCCCTTTTTGTTTTTCACGCGTGAGTCCTTGTCTTGGACAACAAGAAATTTTATTTCTTTTCCCAAACCTAATATACATGTATGAGTGTATATGTATATATATATGTACGTCACGTTCTTTTGGCAAAACCTCCCGCAGCTTTATTTTTTTTTTTCTCCTTCTCAAATATCGATCGCAAGTTTGTTCTCTCCTTCCTCTGTGATTTTTTTTTCGAGCGACTCCATCTCCCTCATCACTATCGTCTTCATCATCCTCATCGCGCGATCATCATCGTGCTCTCATCACCATCGCAGCACCTTCGTCGTCATCATCTCGCCCTCATCTCCGGCGACCGAACCAGTCCGGCGACCCTGCTCCGCATTTTTCCGGCGAGTTCGAGCAGCCCTCCCGCCACGCCGCGACGAACCCCCGCGCCTCGACGAGCCCACCTGCCGCGCCGCGACCCTTCCTTGCCGCGCCGCGAAGCTTCCCAGCGGCCCCGCGAAGTTCTGAAATTTTCCAGCGAGCTCGACGTCCCTTCGAGCAGCGTCTGGCGAACCCTCCTTTCCGTTCCCGTCGAGCCCGTGAACCAGTAGCAGGCTTCCCTCTTCCTCCCGTGCACGTCGAGCCTTCTTTTTTCCAGCGAGACGAGTTAACCGTCGAGCCCGTGCGAACCCATTCTCGTTCGATTCCCGAGAACGGTACCTCGTCGTTTTTCCGTCTCGTTTAATTCATATATGCTCGTTGAATTGTTCATATTCATGTTGTACTCGTGTTATATTTATGCAATGTGAATTTATTGTTGAATATGTGCAAAAATATATGAATTGTGGTGATTATTGTGTCGTATGTTCGGGATCGCTTCGATTTTCTCAAAAATCGAACGAGATCTCGAAAGTCGTGTAAGTCGGTGGATAATGGAACAATGTCGAGTCATTGGTCTTATGAAAAGGCCTCGGACGATAAATTATGTGTTGTGATTTAATTGCCAAATAGTCGACCTTGTAAATCGCTGTTTTGATGTTCGGATTTTTAAAAATGGCTCGCTGCTCGAAACGATGTGAAATTTTGAGAGATGTGTTATCTGTTCATATTCTGCCTTGTGTAAAATTTTCATAATTTTTGGAGACCTGTAGCTATTTTTAATAATTAATTTGTATTCTGTCCAGAATATTGTTCGATGCATAAAAAATTCATGCTTGACTGAAATAAGCTGAAATTCGAATATGTCGTGCCTCTGTGACTCATATGTGTTGTGTTAAAGTTTGGAAATTTTTGGAGTTGATTTGATATGGATAATATTTTATTTATTGATTGGGCAGAAATGTTGTTTGAATTTTTAAAAATCGGTTAGTGCATGGAAAATTCTTAAATTTTGCTGAGAGTCATATTTTAGGTGTTTGATCATGTTTGTAAAATATGGGAATTTTTAGTGTGTGTTTTGATTCAGTTTGAATTTAAATTCGATAAACTGCTGTTGCTCGTTTGAATTTTTAAAAATAGCAGCAGTTATCATTTAAAGCTGAAATTTTTATAAGTGAGCTTTGACATACTGAATGTTGTTGTGTAAAATTTTCAGGTTCAGATTCATTCATTAAGTCTGAGTATGGATTAATGTGCCCTTTTTGCTGAATTACTATTCGAATTTTATAAAATAGGATATTTCGAGTTTAAAGCTGAAACTTTGTGATTTTACATGTTTCTGGGAGATAAAAATTTTGTATAAATTTTTAGAGCTTAATTCGTAGGATATCTTGACCTTTTATTTTTCACGCAATTAAATGATTTCAATTTTCGAGCATAATTGTTATATTGAATTTGGATGGCCTTGCTTTTTGGTTTTTATGTGTGTTTGACTTGGTCAAACCTTAGATGGATTTTTGTGAACTCCCTTAAGTGGTTTGTTCGAGTTTAGGGCCGAGTCCTAGTGTTCCACATCCACAGGACTTGGCGAACTACTTAGTTGAAACGAGTTCGACTAGGTCTGTCTTGAGATTTCCGATTTAAGTCGAGATAGATTCTGATTGTAGGATCTTGACATCATGTAGGTGTCTAGAGGTGTTGATCTTGCCTTATTTCGAGATTTGTGACTGTGAACCGTGCTGCTATCAGGTGGGTACATTTATGATGTATTCCATAATTATCGCACTTCCTTATTTCGTGTAATATTTATTTGAAAAGTTTTGTATGCATGAGAACTCTAGTCTAAGTGTCCCGAACGATAGTGCCTTTGATGAATGCGAAAGCAGTGGAAGTCGCCTCCCCGTCGTATCCGGGAGGTGGACGCCCGAATCCGTGTAGAGCGGAGGGGATTGTCTGAATACTCGAATCCGTGTAGAGCGGAGGGGTGATTCAACTTCACTGTCTCCTGGAAAGGATCCCATGGACCGTCGTATCCGGGGGTGGGAAGGTTTCCAGTTACAGCCATGCCGTCGTATCCGGAAGGTTGTTGTATGTACATAGGAGGTTTGCGATAGGGCCGGGTAGGGGGTTTAGGCTTTGAATTCTATGCATACGGATATTGATATTGGTTTATTATGAAACTGCTTTCTAAATAATTATACGAGATAACTATGCGATAATGGTGAGCTAGTTGGTTGCTCACCCCCATTATTTTCTTGTTGTTTCTCTCTTCCTTTGTTTTTAGGTTAAGACGAGCTGGAGGCGGTGGCGTAGGACAAGCGAGATGGTGGTCATATGTGTCGATAAATCTATGCTTCCGCTTAAACTCGAACTTTATTTGTTTGCTATTATTGCCTTGGATTATTTACTGCTTTCACTTTTCGAACTATGTTGAATTGGGTTGAGCTTTGAATAATGTTGGATCTTTTGAAATGGTTTTTAAGACTTACGTTTATTTGGAACTTGTCTTATTAATAGTTCATGCATGTGTGTTATTTAATGATGTTAGTAAGTAGCGCCCGTTTCTCGATAAAGGTTTTAATTTAAATTTAAAAAAAAAACTCTGATTTTTATTAAATAAATACGGTAAATTCTTGAAATTAAAACGGGGCGTTACACAGCCACCGATCGCCGCCGTGAGCAGTCGGACGACCGCGCGACACGGCAAGCCCACGACGACACGACCGGCGTGAGCTCTGGACCCACACGATCCACGACGATCCAACATGAGCCGATCCCCGCCTTCCGTTCGTGTGATCCAGTTCCGATCGTGTGTTGTTCCCGGTCATCCCGAATCCATCAGATTCAGAAAATTTTAAGCCGTAAGTTTTTTACGCCAAACCTTTAAATTTGTTGCGCATAGGTTTACGTTTTCTATTGAATTCGTAACTTGTACATAACGATACCCTCATAGATCCCAACACATCGCGTCATCAACATTCTCATCCTCCATCGCCGTCGACGCCCTCTGCGGCCACCAGAGTTCCACTCGTTGTCCACATATTGTCCGGCATATGAGCAGCACGTCTCTGCGTCCGGCAGCCGTAAGTGGCCACGCCGTCATCTCGGAGAGCACCGATCGTCTGGCCATTGGATCTGTTGACGGCAGCGGCGAGCGGCGGAGCCACAACCTGTGTGTAGGCGGCCGGAAGTGGCCATGTGTAACCACATCCTGTGTGTAGGCGGAGCACCTATTGTCCGGCATCTGAGCAACACTTCTCTGCGTCTGGGCGGCCGGAAGTGGCCACGCCGTCGTCTCGGGGAGCACCTATCGTCCGGCCATTGGATCTGTTGACGGCAACGATGAGCAACGGCATTTGTGTAGGCGGGCAGACTATGTGTGTTCAGTGTGTGTTCGGTGTGTGTATGTGTGAATTGTGTGTTTGTACGCGTAAAAAAACTTGGTGTGTGTGTGTGTAGGTGTGTGTGCAGGTGTGTGTTCGTGTGTCTGGTGCGTGCGTGTGTGTTCATGTGTATGTTGTGTGTGTTCGTGTGAGAGAGAGAGAGAGGATATGTTAGTGGTGTTAGTGGTGGGGTCCACCTGGTATGTGTAAATGTCTTATTTACCCTCAGTTAGTGCTAAATGTTATATTTAACCATGCTATATATAATTATTTATAATAATGTCATTCGTGTTTGACTGCCACTTATTAAATTTTGACTTGATCATGACCATTGCATTGATCGATCCTATGGTACAAAATCGTTCTTATTTCTTTCACTATCTACATTCTCATATGATCTCATCTCTTATACTAGTAATCCCCTTATATATAGTTGCAGAGTGTGTTGAGCCTAAGTGGCAGACTCTCATACTTCAGAATCCTATTTGTCAAATTTTCATGCTTTGTCATTTAGCTTGGATGAATTATAATTGACTCTCAATTTAAAAGTAATTAAGTTTGGAATAGCCATAGATATTCTAGATATTTATGGTCATTTTGAAGAGCATTAATATTACGTTTCCTATTCTACACATGATTTGTAAGACATAATTGTTTTTCCTCAATCTTACTTTTTTCCTCATCTTTCTTCTAAAACTATGAAAAATACTAACTTAAATTATAAGTAGATTTAAAAGTTAATAATTTTTTTATTTATTATTAATTTTTTATACATTAATATATCAAATTAATCATGTCTTGATGAGTTTCGATTTGATATCTATTTTGTACATACAATATAAGTAAATAGTTATATTTACCTTTTATAATAAAAATAATTATCAATTAATACTAATTAAAAATAAAATTATTTAAATCAATTTAACTATAAATTGAAAAAATATTATAATATGAGATGGTAAATCGTGTGTTATTTTAAATATAAATAGTAATACGATTATATAAAAAATTATTTGAAAATTAAAACAACTTTTTATTATTATTTTAAATTTTAGATTTTATTTGTTTAACAAATACTCGTGTAATACATGGGTATTGTACTAGTACTAATAAATCATTATTACACATCACATAAACTTTAGTTCACTATTCATCTACTCACATAATTTTAACTAACTATCACTTCACATCATATCTTTCTTACTTTTACATCAAATTAATTTTAATTATTTTATTTAAAATATTATTTTAATATAAATTTAAACTTTCACTAACAATTAACCATACTATTTTTTCAAAATTAAATATAGTTAATAAAAAAATTAATAAAAAACCAATCAAATTCATATACAATCACAGTCTCACAATCTGAAACATAGAGAAACGGAACAGGATAACAAATGGAGACATGTCGGAAAAGTCATGAATACCGCTACGAACAATATATCCTGCAACTGAGTTTGCTTTTGAATAAATTAATAAAGTTAACTAAACAGATNAATGATTATTTTTATTAACTTTCATGTGACATCCATGACCAAGGACTCGATCGTCTAAGCTCTCTTAATTAATATTAGAGTTTGTGTTAGATTTTCAGTCTCTTTAATTACATATCAATTTTGCATTAAATATATATATGTATATTAGGAATATAAAATCTCATGGCGATTTGAAAAGGACAGAGAAAAAGTGTGGTTTGTAGTAATGCAACATTTGAAGAGTAATTATTTAACTTGTACAGAGCCCGTGCGATGCACAGGGTGCACAATTTTAATGCTATTTATCCAGGCTTATAATTATATACATGAATAAAGAAAAATGTACGGGATATATATATAGTACGTGACCCGTGCGAAACACGAGATATATTTATTTGGAGAATATTATATTATAATATGCAATATTCAATAAAAGTTTATAATACGCAAGAAAATTGTACAATGTTCAATAAAAGTTTTATAATATTCAAGTGGAGTCTTAAAGTCTCTTGTACATTAAGACTACTGACAAAATAATATTTAATCAATGAGTTTCCTTTCCTTGTAGCCAGATTGTGAATGTGATTTGAGGAGTACAACAAATCGATATATAGCTGACTGCTTTTTTCATTGTAGTTTTTTTTCTTTTTTCTTTTTTATAATGAATTTAAAGGTATTCTAAAATATAGCAAAAATTAATTTTTTATTACAATTAGGAATGTTACTAAATATAAACTCTCAATCTATGGTGTTAATCAACGTTTAAGTCTAAAAAATTAGGAATTTTTACCTCTTTTAATCAACGTTTAAGTGTAAAAAATAATAGAGTTATTATAAGTTTTTTTTCTACATCTTTTAAAACATTAAATATGAGCATGTTAGGGCTATCTTGTAAAATAATTAATATATTATCTCACTAAAACATTTATACTAATAAAAATTTAATTTTAGCATATAAATTTATCCCTTGATATGAGCAAAAGTAACAATTTTACTTATTGTTGTTCACCATATAATATTTAATTATTATTTTATTATATAATAAAAAAAAATATTGTTAAATAGTGTAGTAGAATTGTTATAAAATTATATGATTTTTTTTTTTACAATATGGATTTAATATTTTTTTATGATTTGATAATATAAACAAATCTATACTTAACTTTGACAAATAAAACAAATAAATACTTTAGTAAGTATTTAATGTATATACTAAATAGGAATATATTTGATATAATCAAATACCAAATATAATCAAATAAGTCAAAGTGTACATTTTTATTTGGTATTTGATTTTTTTATTATTAAAATCTTTTTCTTATACTTACCTTTTTAAAATAAAACAAATAAATAAATCAATTAAATAAATAAAATATTATAATACCAAAGTAGTAATGACATTTAATGCAGTTGACTTCTCTGGATAGTAAATGTAGTAAATAGAATCTCTTTTTATATAAGTATAGATTGTATAATACGGAAATGATAATGCAATAAATGTTGTTGACTTTTCTTTATACTAAATCTGGTAAATGGTATACCTTTTAATATAAGTATAGATGTAAGGTGGGCGAAATGATTGGTGGAAATGAATAAATCTCAACATAATATTATCCATACTTCATAAGTTTACATGACACCACACTACCAAAAAAATCTATATTCCATTAAAAATATTCCAACAAATATTTCAATTGTATAATTTCTGTTGGAATAATTTCTAACGGAAATTTTTATGAAAATACTTTTTAAGAATTTCCGTTAGAATTTTTATTTTATCTATATTTCAACCGTTGGAATCGTCAAAATCAAGAGAAATTTCAATAGAAAGCTTTTTTTAATAGATTTTTTTTTTTTTATATTTACTTTAGAATCCATTGTAAATTCTAACGACAATAATAACATTAATTATAATATTCATTACAACAGCCGTTCAAATTCTATTAGAATATATATTTATGTTAGAATTTCATTATTAATAATTATTATTAAGAATTATATAATTGGAGCATAAAAACTAATACTTACCTTATGCAAATCTAGAAAATGAACCACTGATCATATTGTCTATTGCGTGTTGTTAGGATTGTTCTTTCAACAAGAGTACAAGACATATGGGCCATAAAAGATGATGATGACAACTGTCGCCATTATTTTGTTCACATTTTTCATATTTCAATAAACCAAATTATTGACAAAAGAGCCAATATTATACGTTCTTTCAATATTTAAATTCATTTTAAACTTCCACTACAAAAAAATTATTATATTCCAATGAAAAATCCTATGGTAATATATTCCAATAGAAATTCCAACGGATATTCCAATGGTATAGCATCCGTTGGAATGATTCCAACAGAAATTCTAACGGAAATATTCCGTTGGAATGTGTTTTTATTTGGAATTTTAGATGGAATTTGATGAATCCAACGGCTATATTTCCAACGGTTTTTTACCGTAGAAATTTTCGTTAGAATATGCAATTTCCGTTGGAATTTTTATTTCCACCCCCGTTGGAAAATCTACCATTGGAATCGTCAAAATCCAACGAAAATTTCAACGGAGAACTCATTCCAACGGAATATTTTTATTGGAATTTCCGTTGGAATTAATTGAAAATTTCCAACGGAAATAACAACATTGAAATATCCATTGGAATTGCCGTTGGAATAATTCTATTAAAATATATTTCCGTTGGAATTCCGTCATTTTCTTGTAGTGTTCGATAAGTATGTAATAATTAAAATAATAATATAACCTTACATTAGAAACTTTTAAAGTATGATTTTCAAGTATATAATATTGTTATTAATTTGTAACGCACTACAAGAAAGTAATGAAATTTTAACGAGAAATTCTAACGAAAAATTCCAACGAAAATAAATTCTAATGAAATTCTAATGTTAATATTTTCGTTGGAATTCTTCAATGAATTCCAATAAAAATTCCAACAAAAAATATTCGTTTGGAATGAGTTTTCAATTGTACAGTGAATGCTCGAAACCTATTTAGTGAATGCATTTGCATCCGGTGATATTTGAAGCAAAAGTTAAAATCTGGTAATTAAATTATTATTTAAAAATTTCATGTTATTTGATGTTATATATATTATTTGAAGCAAAAGTATTGTTGTATGCCTTCCTAAAAATGAAGTGATATTCACCATGTACATGCACAGACACCTGGCTACATGTAAACGCGCGCACGTCTATATAAGCCCTAGAGTTTTATCAATACAAGTACAGACCCCCCCACACACACAACATAATCCACTCACCTAAAACTTACTACTCCATTCAATTTTCTTAATTTTTTATTCTTCCTCTACGGAAATGTATGATATCAGCCAAACAAAACAAGTGAACGATGACGATAAAGATACACTATCCCTCTCCAATTTCCCCCTAAACCCAAACGAACCGGTGAAAAGCCGCTCATCCACTCACAAAACCCAAGACGGCCGGCGCAGGTCAACCTCCGAACCCTCCGATTTCTTCGAATTCTTCACCGATTTCAACTCTGAGCCGATCTCCCACGCCGATGACATCATCTTCCGCGGCAAGCTCGTCCCTTTCGGCAACCACCAATTCCTCAAATCCCTCTCCGCCCACGACGCCACTCGATTTTCCGGTCGGCCGCCGTGGATCACCGGAGAAAAAAATGTCCGCCGCCGGCGGGATTGTGTGAGGTCAGAATCCGGCGAGATTCGCCAGAGTTGCTCGGGGAAATCGGATGGGTCGTCAAGGGTGTCGAGGCCGAGGTGGTTCGTCTTGATGTTTGGCCCTCCAAGACTGGCTGAACGGGAGATGGATATCCGGGAGATGAGGAGACGGTGGGGTCGACGGGCACCGGAGAGTATGTTTCCGGTCCCGGCGGAGGGAAGGGGGATTGGGACGGGGCGGAGGTGGTTTAAGGGTATGGATTTGGTGAGGATGCTGAGTTGTAGGAGTCACGGGAGCGTGGTGGTCGCGGCCTCCATTGGGGCGCTCCCGCCACGTTTCTAACTCTCATATCTAGATGAACCGCCTAATTTTGTGGTATATATATCAATTCATATAAAAAACGGACGGATAGTTAACAGCCATGCGTAACACATTCACATATTTATTAATTGCATATTCAAATCCACTGCATGAATTTTGTTATGTGAATTTACTTTGCATGTATAGTTATCGGATTTCTAAATTGATAGCCGCATATTTATGATTAATGCAACAAGTTTTCGCATAATTCAGGACTCGCATATCCAAGTCAGACGGATAGTATGAGAAACAATTTCGCTATTATATAATCGTGTATCCAGATCCACCACATAATTTACCATATGCGAGAAAGTTTTGCATATTAAGTTACTGCATATCCAAATCGAGTGCCGAATATTTTATGATTCTGCGACATTTTTTTGTATAATTTACAACTCGCATATCCAAATCGAGTGCGGAATATTTTATGATTCTGCGACATTTTTTTTGCATAGTTTACAACTCGCCTATCCAAATCTATAGTGTCGTGTAACTAATGATTATGCGTAACATGTTCGCATATTCATGAATCACATATCCAAATCGAAAATCGAACAATTTACCACTATCCTTCATTTTTTCGCATATCTATATCATGATTTGCATATTTGAAGAAAATATTTTCAAATTATTTGCATTGTTTATGCACCGCATTGATTGTCTGATTTTTCACATAAAAAACTTTGACAAATGGAATGTACCTACATTAGTTATCGATGTATATATACTACCATTATTATTAATCATGAATTGTAAGATTTCATTACTTACCTTTCACTTCTTGAAACTAAAAAGAAATTAAAAAAAAAACCTAGCATGAATAATATCCTTATATTGCGATAGCAAAAACAAATACAAAAAACAAAAAAACAAAAAACAAAAAAATAGACCCGTTTACGAAAAAAATGGATAGGATTTTGTGCAATAAACTGATCGCGATCCGCGTCTGTGGCGTCGAGTGGACTGAGGACGAGGAAGATGCTTGCTACTGAGTGTTTTTCAAGAAGTGTCTTGAGAAGGCAGACATACATCGATGCTCTGTATTCAATTTCTTGTGGCATAAATTGCACGTTCTCTGAACATCACACTGAGTTATTCTTGAAGAATGAGTATTTTGTTGCCCCAAGTCCGGTGAAAGATTTCACAACACAGAACTTGTTTTGATGAATATTTCCTGTTGATTCGAGGAGTCTGAGTGCGCTATGATGCTGGCCTTATTAGTGTTAACCACATGTACTGGTTGTATGTGGGTGAGGTAAAATGACTTTTTATTTAAGTTTGTTCATTTATTTTGGGACGCGTTCATAAGCCTAAAATGTTTTAAATTTAATGCACAAGAAGAGACTGATGCTCGGGCATTTTTCCATTGGTAATGATTTCTTTAGTATCATCAGTTTTACAAAGTTTTTTACGAGCGCAACGCAGCGGCAATCGACTTAGAGGATGGGCCTGGTGCTTTGGTTGACGACCCGGTCTGGGAAGAAGACATAGACGATGATGGCACTGACAATGATGGTGATGATAGGATTCATCCGTCACCACCACAGGTGGAATTCATCGATCTAGACCCTGAGAATCCACAAAAAAAAATTGAAAAACCATATGTGGTACGTAAAAGACCTCCGTTCGGCTCGATTTAGCCTGATCTTGAGCTCCTGGTCTCTGATTGAATTCCTTTGGACCTACAAAAACTCTCACACCGAAGGAATTTTCCAGTAAAGAGCATCTGATGCTTAAGCTAGCATTGTGAAGAAGATGAGTGTTGTATGTATGTAGAGTAATAGAGAATGCAAGTGTGATGTTGGGCATACTTCACTCCCTTTTATAGGGAAATGTACCTTGTCACCCAAGTATGCCCGAGTTGGCTACCTAGACTGCCTGTTCGTACTGCCCGAGATGCCCAAACTGCTCAAACTGCCAAATTCTATTAGGCCACGTGGCTCTATCCACGTGGGGGTTAAATCTCTATAATATTCATGCTTATCTTTTAGTCTTCCTTATTAGACGGTCTAACCGTGTGACAGACGTCAATTACCTCGAGGTAGAGTACCACCGATATTGAGCTCTAATGCTCTGCCCGTCAGGTCGATCCTTCAACCATCTATACTTTCAGGTTGAACTTCAATCAGGCCATTCGAGGGTCCTAATTCAACCTGCCGATGTTTTTCATATTCTTGACGTCCTCTTCGACCCTGAGGATCCTTCGACCTACGAAATTTTTAACTTCCATTCAACCCAATGGTTCACTCGGTTCACTTCTGTTGCTTCCCATGTCTAGTCAACCTAGTACGGATCTCCCATATCAAGCGGTAAAAACAAAAATTAAAAAGGAAGTTAAGGAATAGAAAATTAGGAATTTAGATACTTGAATATTTGAAAGTGATAAGAAAAGAAAAACATTGAGTCAAGAATAAAATAATATTCATTGTGAATCTTAGACAGATGTTAGTTTGGAGAGTTAAGCTAAGTATTTCATAAAGAATTAAGGGAAAATAAGAATGAAATGAAAAACAGGGGTGGTAAAAACAAAAATGAAAAATACAGTTAAGGAATAAGAGATTGTACCATATGATACATTTTCAGGTAATTAATTTTAAAAGTTATAAGAACAGAAAACTATATAATAATGTTTAAGGGTGAATCTTAGTTAAATGTTAGTTTGGAGAGTTAAGCTAAGTATTTCATAAAGAATAAAAGACAATCAAGAATGAAATGGAAAGTTGTGGAAAATGAGACTATAACATAAGATACATTTTCAAGTAATTATGTTTGAATGTTATAAGAAAGTAAAATCATTGACTCAAGTATATAGTAATGTCCAAAATAAATATTATATAAATGCTAGTTATGAGAATTAAGCTAAGTATCTAATAAAGAATGAAAGATAATTAAAATGAAATGAAAAATAAAGGGTGGTAAAAACAAAATGAAAAAAGGAATTAAGGAATAGGAGATTATGACATAATATACATTTTTAAGTAATTATATTTGAAAGTGATAAGAAAAGAAAATCATTGATTAAAGAGTATAACAATGTTCAAGACGAATCTTAGATAAATATTAGTAATGAAAGATAAGCTAATTATTTCATAAAGAATGAAAGATAATCAAGAATGAAATGAAAGGTGGTAAAAGCAAAAATAAAAAAGGGAGTTAATGAACATGAGATTGTAACATAAGATACATTTTGCAACTACCTGGATGAAGTTATGAGCTAGTTTATCTTGATAACGAGATAAATTTGGATTAGAATGGAAATTACTCAAATGGATGACAATCTAATATACTTCGAAAGAATACAAACTAGTTCACTTAGAAGGAAATACGAGCTAAATTACTTGGCGCATAAAAAAAAGGATTATTCATCAAGTAAATGGAAAAATATTCAAGCAACATTCACGAGCTAAAGATACGTAGAATACTCATGGGTCAACACAAACCCACAAAATACATTGGATGAACGAGCAAAAAGAGTTAAATATTCAATAGGTCATTGCGACCTTTCAAGAACATCAAAAGAGTGACGACTAAAGTTATTGGATCGTTCCGTCGCGGTTGGCTGACGAGCGGACCTTGCTAGCTCCTACCAGCGCCACAGGACCCGCAAGTGGGAGGAGTGTTCATCCGAACCAACAATCTCGCTTTGGTATTGGCCTTGGACTCGATGCTGACCCACCAAGAGTGATTAGGAGGAAGGACGGGTCGCTCCCATACCCGTCAGGAAGAGGTAAACCCTGAGCTCCCTGTTGAAGTGACTTGAGAAATCTAATATTACCAGCTCAAACTCGGCTGCATGAAAAGTAGCATGGAAATACTGGAAGTTGCAGGAGTGATCTTCTTTAGGAACGCAGGCGAGTTGAAAAAATGATCAACGACATCTTGACGATAGATCTCTATAAATATGAAGCCCATGGAAGGTAGAAGAAATGATTTTTGGCCCTTGAGTCGACCAAACTCTTCTCGCTCCATCAGCTTGACGTGGTGGAGCTCATCCTTCTCCAACAACTCCTTCTCGTGGTCGCTCCGTAACTTTTCCAATTTCTTGAGGAGAGTAGCTTTCTCGTCATGGAGTTTGGCGATGATGGCCCTCGTGACCTCGAGCTCCTCACCTTTCTCATCCAATTCGATAACCATCTCGTCGACCTTCTCACTCATGCAGGTGAGGTTGGTGTTAGGAGCAGCAGTCCCCTTCTTGAGAATAGAGGCGATGGCCGAAAAGAACTACAAAATATATATTTTGGTCACATATATTATTCGAATACCTGAAGAAAGACATAATAAATAAAAATAACTTACTGTGGAATAATCTCGAGTTGCGTAGCAATTGCGGTCGTAGTCAGTGCCATTGAATCGAGTTGTATCTTTGGAGAGAAGTTATTGTAGGTCGTTATTTCGGTTGCGTCCTTGTGGCAGAAAATTTGTTAAGGTTGTTGAAGGGTCACGGGACAAACTACGATTGTCGAATGTTCATTTAGAGCATTGACCGGAGAGGTGTCACCTCCTTACCCTTAGCCCGTTTCCTCAGAGAGGGAATGAGCTTCACTTTCTTGCCAGATTCGGGGCCATCTTTTTCGGGTTAGAGGAACCCCCGTGGACAACTCGACTTGAGGATTGGACCTAGGGGTCATATCCCCTAGCTGCGACCTAGGCGGCGACAGTCTTATCAACTTTAGGAACCCAAGTCGCGAGGTTTTCAGTTATGGCAACGACAACCTGTTGAGTTTCAGGTCGACGTGATTTGGTCGCAGAGGTTTTCACTTGCTTATCTTTCTTCTTGACCTGGAATCTATAGAGATAAGAATGTGAAAAAGTATCAAGGGTTAGAACGACCTGAATAAGAATGAAAAATCGATCTAAGCAAGACAAACGAATAAGAAAACAAAAATACAAGCAAACGACCTACCTAGGTCAAAATAAATAGTGCATCATTTACATTGTCAACCCACATTAATAATAATTATAATAATAATAGTTTCAATGATAGTTAATAGGCCAGGATCTCTCAAATTTATAAAAGCTACATTATCTATTTTATTTTGTGTGATGAAATTGAATACTTTTATAATATTCATGACAAAATTTTAAAATGTGATACTATTATCTAACTTATGATTTTAATATTATATACATACATATAACTTATAATAATCTAAACATCTGTGCATGTGCACATGATCAAATACTAGTGAGGAACAATAACGGACCATAGGTTGGACGACCTAAAAGGCTGTCGATCTAAGGAGTTGGACGACTTGCAGTGTTGGACAACTCAAACAAAGAAAGACAACCCAAAAACATAAAGATAGCCATCTCAGTAAGACGACCTTAGAGGTTACGACCATATGACCTAATAGCTATAAAACAGACTTACATGGGATAAGACAAAATCTAATGAAGATAAGAAGGAATCTAATGATGACAGGTTGAGATTAGGATAAGGATGAACACTAAAAAGATAAGACCAACCCTCAGGCAGTTGGGCAGGCTAACCGCGAGCAGTCAAACAACTCGACCAGATAATCTCGGGCAGGTATCCTCTTATAAAAGGGGATGAGGTACAAATGCAAACTCTGTACACTCTCCAGATTATATATACATAACACATTACCACTTCGTCCCCTATACTAACTTGAGTGTCTGAGTGCTCATGTCAGAAACCAACCCGACACTTATTTTGTAGGTAATTTGCGGTTCAGGACGATTGGAGGTCTTTCTCAGTCAGTTCAACTTACCAAGGTCTCCGACACATCCATATATATGTTGTTTTTGTATAAAAGTCGTTCTTTAGAGGTTTTAATTAAAAATATCATGCATATAAATATAAGTATATGAAATTACAATAAAAAATGTTTGTGAACTTACTGAACGCTCATAAATGGGTTCATGGAAAATCCCGTCTCCCCCAAATCTCTCGCTCGGCCTCCATCTCTTCTCGTAGGTAAACTCCCTCAGCCGCCGTCCGTAATCGTCGGTGGACGGTCGCCTCCACTTATCCATGGCCGCGGCCCTCCCGTCCTCTATCTTATCGTCACTGAATTAGGGCTAGGGTTCCGGCGGAATCAATTTCCATTCGAAACTGCCGGAATTCAGTGATTTCGGGGCATGGTGAGGTGTGGTCGCGCGTGGATGATGCTTGTGGCGCTTAAATTGGCTTTGGTCGGGGCACCTCTTCTCGGCCAGTTTTGGAGGGTTGCCGTTGCTGGTCTTCCAGTTTCTGCAGGGGTCAGGTCGGCGGCTCCTCGACAGTGCAGGGATGGCGGGTCGGGGCTACTCCTAGCGGGTCGGGTTGATTGGAGGTGCTTCGTTCGGGCATGGTCGGAGCGGTCGAGCAGGTAAGCCACTCGTACCCTTTCTCCTCTTTCTCGGTTTCTGAGTTTTGGGGGAGGCCGACAGTCCCCGGAGTAGGCTAGTGGTGTTAGGCTGTTCGGGTGGGTGTCGGATCGGCTAGTGGTGTTTGCCGGTGGGGTGGTGTTCGTGGCTTTTTGCGGATGGAGCGCGGATCGTGTTCTCGCTTTGTTATTGCGGCTTCGGTCATCGTCTTGCTAGGCTTTATGCAGTGGTGGGCGTGGTATTGGAGCTTCGGAGCTTTCCTCGGAATCGACTTGGTCTGCTGTCCTTTTCGGATGTACCTACTGTGGGAGACTGTGATATTCGTGTGTAGTTGTTTTTTGGTTATTGTGTTTTCGTTTATTTGTTTTTGTTTAGTCATTTGTGTTGGTGTTTATGTTAGTTGTTGTGTTTTAGGTTTGGGCCATTGGCCTTGCTCGAGTGTGAACTTATTATCCTTTTGGGACCATACACTCGAGCATTACCCCGTTGGGGCCGTTTTAGTTTTGTGTCTTTGTGTTGAGTGGTTATTTCTCTGTTAGGGTCGGTTCTAGACGGGCTTAGTCCTCCTCTCATGTTTATTCAGCTGGTGGTTGCGTGTTGTCAGCTGGTGGTTGTATTTTTGTACATTTATGCCCTTGNTAAACATGCCAATATTTTTTTCTATTTAACATTTTTTTTTTCTGAATGAGCTCGTATTAGTTTGTGGATAATAATTGATTTTGATTTAATCAGTGAAAGTTTGTTTAATTCAAATTGATAACTTAAATAAAAATATTCATCAAAAGTGATATCCATTTATCTCACTTTTTTCTCTATAATCACACAAAAAAATTAATAAATAATAACTTATCATTGTTGAATTTAAAAATAATATTTAACAACTCACATTTTTTAACTATCAATCACTATTGATCAATACTTTATTATTTTTTAATCATATTAAATCGAATAATTATATATATATTTTATCCATTTACAATTTCAACTCTATCTCAGTATTTTTATAAATGAAAATTAATTTTACTTTTTCATCCTTCATTTTTGAGGAGGCATATTTTTAAAAAATTCAATATCCAAACAGAACTCCTTTTAATTGATATCACTACAACAAAATGATCAAATTCCAACGAAAAATTTCAATACAAATATATTTTAATGGAATTTCAACGAAAATTCCAACGAAAATATTCCGTTGGAATGAATTTTCCATTCGAATTTCCGTTGGATATTGAAGATTCCAACGATAGATTTTCCAACGGATGCCGAAATAAAAATTCCAACGGAAATTGCATATTCCATCGGAAATTCCTACGGTAAAAAACCGTTGGAAAAATAGCCGTTGGAATCATCAAATTCCATCTAATATTCCAATAGAAAATTCATTCCAACGGAATATTTTCGTTAGAATTTCCGTTGGAATGATTCCAACACAAGTTATACCATTGGAATTTCCGTTGGAATATATTATCGTAGGATTTTCCGTTGGAATATAACATTTTTTTGTAGTGTATGAACCTGCGTAATGATTAGAAATGATTCTTTTTATGTTAAAACTTAGTCATAATATTTAATATTAGTCATATGGGATCAGCTCTTAGAATTTCGAATGTGCATTTTAGTATAGTTTATTCATAATCTAGAACTTAATATAGTGTGGTGCAACTTACAAAATGTGATGCTTTAAATAAGTACAATTATAAGGGAACTTGGCTTGAAGTCCAAGAAGATGTTAGATAGTGATGAGTATTAGCGCACATTCCTTATGCTGATGATGTTGTCTATGCTAATGATAGATGTTTATTCAATTGTATGGGATGGGACAAGAATATTTCCTTCCATGTTTGAGTGAGTGGCAACAAATTCAATGATGTCAACAAAATCTTTGTGATAGGTTGCTGCCTTGTTGCCAATTATGTTAAACCCGCCTGAATATTGACCGAACTAGTCATCCTTCCAATCATGGTTTACTAGTAGCTAACAATATCAAATAACGAAATATATATATACTAGTAATTGCCCGTGCGATGCACGAGATGGTATATTTATAAGCATTTTTTAATATTAAATATTAAATTTAATGAACTTGTTATATTTGTAACAAAAATAAAACGTTGGACACAAATTACAAAATTCATAATTTATTGAAAACTATTTTGTACACAACGTTTTTTGTTTGATTTGGCGGCGAGTCATCGTCACCACAAACTAAAATTTTCAATTAATTTTGAATTTGGAGATTGCATCGCACGGGTACCGTATGTATCTATTAATTGTATATATTAATTTATATCTTATAATATGGTATTCTACCAAATTTTAGTTAATTTATAATACAAGTAAAAAAAATTAAAATCTATATATGAAAGATTCCATACTTAAATGTATTAATATTGTACGTAAATATTAATTGCAATATCTTCTATATATATTAGGAAATAATAAAACTGGTTGATTACGCAGTTAAAAATTATGGAATGCATAACAAACTCTATAAACGTGTATATTAATTACAATTTATCCTACATATATTAGGAAATAATATAACTGGTTTACTATTGCCTTCAACATTTGAATATTAATTTATTAATTTATATCTTATAATATGGTATTCTACCAAAATTTAGTTAATTTATTTATATTAGAAGTGAAACAAAAAATTTAAAATCTATATATGAAAGATTCCATACTTAAATGTATTAATATTGTACGTAAATATTAATTGCAATATCTCCTACATATATTATATCTATAATAAAACCGGTTGATCAAATATACTTAAAAACTGAGTGGCAATTCATTTGTGCAGTTAGCAAAACTGAGTCATCAGAGGCAAGGATACAATTAACAACATATATCCTTTGGTGGCTCTGGAAGACACGCAACCTTAGTCTATTTGAAGGCAAGCATATCCCGGTGCAACTGATCCTTAAAGCAGCTCAGGCAAATTGGCTGGACTTCTCAACTGCAAAACAGCATGGAGCTTCTACCACCTGACGCTCCCCATTTTTTTTTAGTT